GCTAGCAGGCGGGGCCCATTACGTACATCATAGGAGCCTGTACTACACAAACACTGTTCCTGTATGTAGGTTTTATTTTATTTGTTTTTTATCTTATACTTTGGAAATGTACATCCAGGTTTTTTTCCTTTGAATTTTTTGGGGGCCCCCAAGAGAGTGGGGCCCTAAGCTATAGCTTGTTTAGCTTATACATAAATCAGGCACTGGTATAGGGTCTCAGATACTAGGTTGCGATAGAACTTGGCTGAGACCCTAAATAGCTGTGCCCTGTCACAATATACCAGCCTAGACAATATTTCACTAGATGAACTAAGGATCTGACTCAGCTGAAAGCAGTTTCACATAGAATGGATTTTTTTTTAAAAAAAAAAATCAATCAATGCAAACAGAAGGGCTTTGGATATGATTGAAGACTTAGACAAACCCTATGTGCTGGTTAAGCTTCTTAGCTTCCTAGCCCTGTGGCTTCCTCATACCTCACAGCAGCACAGCCTACACCCCACAGATGTTCACACCTACTTTCTCTGCCTGCTGCAGTGAAAAATAAACATTAATAACAAGACAGAGCATAGTGTCATGGGCCATTTCAACCACAGCATGACTAGATAAACTAGAACTTAAGTGCACTTCATGCCCATCATGAACTAATATCATTGCATTGCATAACACAGTTGGAAAGGTTAAATATGCTGCTTAAATTCAACCTTGTTGCATCGTGCTCTCCCCTCCCCCCACAGAATTGTTGCATCCATAAATGTGAGGGTTGTCTGAATTCCTATGCTAAACAAGTTCTTCTTTTCTTTTGCTTTATATGTCTCAGGTTCCTGAAAAGGGAGACATTTTTAGATGGTGTAAACCAGGCTGAATAACATACAGCACCCAGGTGGTAAATTGAAAATTGAAAATTTTAATGTGTAAACCTTCTGATGTTCATCCAGGTCACCATAATTCTCAAAACGGCTAGGAGACTTTCAGTACTCGTAATAATTTTTGTTGAAGCTTTTACCTCTGAAGTAAATGAATGATCCACCAAGTTACCTTTCTAATTATAATTTTGTTGTGAGCTGTTAGTAAAGAAAGGAGATGATTGGCCCACCGTCTGTCAGCGGAGGAATGCACATTTTGATTTTGCCAAATTTTATCTGCTTAAAGCAAGCCTGTCTCTTCAGGTGTTGTAGAACTAAAAATCACATCATCCCTAATCATAGGGCACAGAGGCACTGTGGGCTCCAGAGAAAGATCACATGAATGTCCCTGCTTTTTTATTATTAAAAAAAAAAAAACCCCACTATAAACATACCAGTGCTGTATAATCTGAGCAAAAATGTTTTAATTTTTTTCAGCAGAGTCAAAATAAAACCATTCTGGGGGATAGAAAATGTGTTTTCAGAGTCCACTTAAAAACATGTCAGATCCTGCCTTCTGTTCCTAGGAACAGGATTGGGTAAGGCCAAGGCCACTGCTGGAAAATGCCACTCCCAAACATCTGCAACCTAACTGCTCTCTCGGGCAATCTCTGCCCCGTAAGTTCCCTTCAGCCCTAGCCTCTGCCAATGCGCTTATTTTAAATACGCAAAGGGGAGACCAAATCAACGGGGTTCCCCCGGTCACTTCCTCATTGGGGGGCCTGAAGGAAGAGCCTTGGGTGAAAACAGGAACTCTTTCCCCACAACGTTACTATGTTTCAATTAAAGAACTATTGTGCAGCAAGTCTTCAGCTGAACGGAATGCCTTCCCCCAGTAACCATGGAGACCTCCTGCCAGTCACGGTTGTCAGTTCTGGGATAAAGAAGCCTTTGGCCATGCTAGAGTGTCCTCTCGAGCAACTTACTGAAGAGCTGGGATATAAGGAAATAATGCATCATATAAAATTACCTTTGTATCGATGGACTTTTGCTTTTTTAAAAGTTCTTACCCAGTTACTTTTTTTGTCACAGGCGGAATTAGAAAAATAAATAAAATCACCCAAGCCTACCTCCCTTTTTTAAGGTGACAAAAGTTTGCCTCGATTTAAATAACAAAAACAGGCAATTATGAATGGTGCATGCAAATTTATGGCTAATGTTTTCCCACAACAGAAGAGTTTGGTGCCAAAGGATCGGGTCCCACATCCCATGTTTATTACTGGGGGACATTACTATTTAAATGCATCATTGATAACAAATGAAATTTCCCCTGTGTATTGAATTGAAATTGGCCTGATCCTTTTTTCTTTTCTTTTTTACACCCAGGTATAAAAAGTAAAAATGTGAGCTGATCATTACTAATATTCTAGATTATTTAGGGCTGATGATCTCTTTTATGAAACTATGTTTTGCCAGTAACCACTGAGATTCACTTTTGTGTGTTGCCATTGATTTTGTGCATTTGGGTTGATCATACATATTGCAGATTTCTTCTTTCACCCTCTACTTTTATACAATGGTGGAGTTTTGCTTTTATTTTAAACACTATCCCAAGGTTTCCTTAAGCCTACACTGTAACTAATGAGTCTGAAGGAAGCCTCCGATGATTACCTCTCCCAGTCCAGTAAAAATGTGTTTTGTTTCCTTTCGGTTGGATAATGGGCTGGCACTGAGCACTAGTTTGAAGCCATTTATATGCAGATATAATCTGCTGTCCTGTTTCTTTCAATAGGTGCCATAAATTAGCATTCAATTTCTGCTACAATTTTGTCAGCTTTTTTCATTCATTTCATATGTATTTGATCCGACTTTCATCACAGCTGTTTGCCAAGCGTCTCCTAAGCACAAACAATCCCCACAAGTTTTTGGTCCATCACTGGTTTTCCTACAAAAATAAAAATAAAACTCTTTCATATGCTGCCTTATTGTACAGCTGCAGTTGCACAATGTTTTCATTTTCTTTATGAATCCAAAACATCTTGCATATTTGGATTCATTTTTATCTTGCTCACAGGCATGGCCTGTGCATTCCTTCAGTGGGACTAATTGCTTACTACTTCCCCATGATTGTATCCCATCCTGCTCTGGTAAAAATTCAGATCCAGTACCACATGTTGATAGTAGTCCCCAGACCAGATTCAGTAATCCAGAGAGCAATCAGATCCAGCCAGTGTTACTGGATAAATACAGGGCCAAGCCACAGAAGAATGGCAATTGATCACTCTGATAAGACTTGAATAGGACTTTGATGTTGCAGTTACTGAGTTCAGAACCCTGCATTCCTGAATTCGCTCTTACAGCTTTGATTCTAAACTAGACCGGATTGTGAAGTCGACTCTGTCCACTGACTACATAGCAGAAGTTTAAGACACTGGACATATGGAGAGACAGCAATCTTTGGCAAAGACATGCAGCATTATGATTCTTGATTTCCAGGATATTGGAGAACCAGTCTGGAGGGGGATAGCTAAGTTGGTAGAGCATGGTGCTGAGCATGTCAAGGTTGCAGATTTGATCTTCTATGGGACAGCTGCATTGCTGGGTGTTGGACTAGATCAGAGGCGGCCAACTCCCAAGAGACTGTGATCTACTCACAGAGTTAAAGACTGGCAGTGATTTACCCCCTTTTGGGGGGTTCAGGTCAAAGTTGTTGAGCTTTTTTTTAGGGGTGCAGGGCAAACATGTTGAACTTTTTTTAGGGAAGCCAATCTTGTTGAGCTTCTTTGGGGGCAGCCAGCGATCTACCAGTGATCTACCACAGACATCCAGTGATCTACTGGTAGGTCATGAGCTACCTGTTGGACATGCCTGGACTAGATGATCCTCAGTGTCCAAACGAACTCTACGATTCTATTAGATAAAGCTTCTGCACATTATACATAGTGCATAGACTGGTGGGCTGCATCATGCCTTTAGGAGGGTCATTCTGCCTCCATGCTTCCCCATGTAAAAAGCTCTTTGCATGCTGAACTAGCACATTAAAGATATAGTTGTGTTAGATCTCTACCCCCAAATGTTCTGCTTTGCTGCACAAAGGACATTATGTGTGCTATTTTTCAATGGGTGGGTGGGATATTTTTTAAAGCAACCCATATGAAGACACATACACACTTGCAAGATGAAGCACTCTAGTTCTGATTTTTAGCTTCTTGGTCTACTGTATCATTCTTTGTTAAGGTATCAATTGGATCTATATGTTTAAGGGATCATGGCTTCAGGGTACATCCAGTTAGAGAAAATGCAACCAGGCTGTAAAGTGTTTCCCACATGGATAGTGGGCATCTGCTTTCACCCTCACCCTCTCCTCTTTAAGCAAACTAAATGCATCTTTATTAGTCAGACGTTGTTTATAGCACATGGACAGCTACTAATTATTGAGTCACGGAGCAATTATTATGGAATTTAAATATATTCCCCACTTTCCTCAGTGTCTTAATTGGTCATTTATCTGATGTGAGGTTTTACTGTAAAATGTGATTATTTCTAAGAAGCATTTATTCATGGCTGAGTTATGTATAAGTACTCATAGCTTTTTCTGGTGCAGATAGATGCATCATCGAAGGCATTAGGTCATACACAAATAAACTCCCCGCCCCTGTAAATACTGCATGATCCTTTGGTTCCCCACTATCAGTCAACATGGCTCTCTACAGGGAAACGCTGAACTCTACTTGGAGAGGAGAAGCAGCAAATAAACATTTAAAAGGGGTTGTTAAATGTTTCTGATGGTTATACAGACGCTGCAGTTGCTTTATAATTACAGCTGAGTTCACGTAATCACAAGGAATTCAAATTTTTATTGGGACATTCATATGCTTGAGCAGATTCATATGTCTGAAATAAAGTACTGAAAAGGGAGGGAAAAATGAGCGCTTGTTGTTTTCTCTTTTTTGAACTTATGGGATAACATGCAAAGCGAGAATATCTGCCATGCTGGTGCTTTTCCTATGAGGGAAGACACAAACATACAGATGTATATGCAAAAGCATGCTTGTAACCCCAGTTGTGCTGAGTTCTAGAGCACATACTGCTGAGTGAGTGAAGCCTCACATTCTGAGGTGGACCAGCATTTGTGTGGATCTCAGGAGGCAGTTTGGGTTGTGCGGCTTCACTCAAGTGTTGATTTAATTTGTTTCCTCCGTAGTGCTTGGGTGACATTTAGCCTCCCAGACTTCTGAGTGTCCTCTCTCGTGATCATGTGGTGGGTTAACTGTATTTGATTTTTAGTTTTCTGCTGCCATGGCATCCTGTTGGATGGCTGCCTCTTTGCCTATGAAGAGAAAACAGAGAAACACAAGGATACTAAAGTATAATAGATTGCAGCCTGGGAGTGAGTGGCCATTGAGAATCGTCGTTGAGAAAAGTGCCTCCATTTCCAAAGTGCATTGACTGAGTCATTACAATAGCATCTATGACAGGGGTTTCATCTGCTGAGTGGCTACATTCACGCCATATATTTAAAGCACTTTGATACCACTTTAAACAGACCTGGCTCCCCCTGAAGCATTCTGTAGTTCACTAAATATGCTGTGAGTTGTTAAGAAACCCCTATTCCCCCTCCCACAGAATGACAATTCCCAGCATTCCCTGTGAAAACAGATGATTGCTATACCACTCTGGGAACTCTAGCTCTGTGAAGGAGATCAGGGTCTCCTAACAACTTTATGCATACAAACAATAGCTGCCAGAATTTGACTGTTTAAAGTGGCATGATTTAGCTTTGAATGGATAGTGCAGGTGTGACTTATGTTGACACTGATAACTCTCACGCATCCATGGTAGGAAGTGTCTGTCATCTGCTAAAATTTCTTCTGCCGATATTTCTCCTGTCTTTGGACCTGCAGAGAGAATGCACAATGTCTGCCTGTGTGTTTTCCCATGACTAATATGGCATGTTATGGAACACTTTTTCCTTCCCAGAAAAGGTGACCCTGCTTCCCATTTCCTTTGAGGAAATGCCATCATGTATTGGCAGAGCACACGTTTTGCATGGTGAAATCCCAGGTTCACCACCAGCATCTCAAGGGTCTTTGCTGACCTGTGGCCAGTCAGCAAAGGCAGGACTGAGGTAGATGGTTTGGCACAGAAGAGGGCAGCTTAGGGCTTTGCAACCTTCACCACATGCAGTATACATCTTTCCCTTAATCCTGTTGGCAGGTGACCTTGATACAACCTGGTGTGCAATGTTGTTCATCCAAGACATGGTGTCTACATCTCTTAGGAGGAAGAGGGATTCGTGTTTTAGCTATTGGGTTTGAGTGCCCTGTACATCTTGGAGGGCTTGAGGGCAGGCGTGGGGAGAGATGATTGTGTTGAGGCAGTGACTTTCCTTCCCTGGTGGATCCTCCACTCACTTACCTGTCTGGGGTGCCTTGTCATAGCCTGTGCAGTGGTAGGATCTGCATTGAGACTGACTGATTGATTGATTGAGTATATATATATATATATCTACTCATATATACTTCAGCAAGGTGTCTCCTGATGCCCTTCTGATTGGTGCATATTCCTGGTGTTCAGAGGGGTTTAAGAACACATGTTATCATCCTGCCCTTACTTTTGTTGTGCTCTTTGATTGAGACTGCAATCCTCTGCTCACATACTTGGGAGTAAGTGCCACTGATCAGGGGTGCCAATTTGAATAAATAATCACTCAAAAGATGCAGTGTGCACTCACACACCATTTGAATAGCAATGCCCATCAACCTTGGGGATCCCATCCCCCTTAAATATTTTTTTGGGGGGGGCAAAGGGACCTAAGCCCCTAGGATCTGGCTTCTATGTACTGGAGTCTTAAAGGTAAAGGTAAAGGGACCCCTGACCATTAGGTCCAGTCGTGGCTGACTCTGGGGTTGCGGCGCTCATCTCGCTTTATTGGCCGAGGGAGCCAGCATACAGCTTCTGGGTCATGTGGCCAGCATGACTAAGCCACTTCTGGCAAACCAGAGCAGCGCACGGAAATGCCGTTTACCTTCCCGCCAGAGCGGTACCTATTTATCTACTTGCACTTTGACATGCTTTCGAATTGCTAGGTTGTCAGGAGCAGGGACCGAGCAATGGGAGCTCACCCCGTCGCGGGGATTCGAACCACGACCTTCTGATCAGCAAGCCCTAGGCTCTGTGGTTTAACCCACAGCACCACCCACGTCCCATGGAGTCTTACTTTTTAGCAAACATGCAAAGAATTGCACTGCACATCTGCAATCCTAAATTCTAAACTGGGAGTAAGTATCACTGAACTCCGTAGGACTTACTTCTGCATACAGCTTATAACCTTGCCCTGCTTGCCGCTGAGTACCAGGCTCTAGGCCAGCTGCTGTGTCTCAGCACAAGCAATCCCCTCGTGATCCAGGAATAATAAAAGCATCCTATACGGGGCTGTTGCAAGGACGACCAAGATAATATATGTGGAACACTTTGATGAACACTCTGAAGTTTCATATTAAGGCTAAACAGCAGTTGCATTACTATGATTACTAACAGCGACTCTTACTTTTAAATCTTCATTTTAAAAAAACCTAACCTAATGAAAGAGAGCGTCTCGTTTTCTTCCCCCCTCCTTGCATTTAAGCAGTCCTTTATGACAGCAATTCTCCTCTTATGAGTATGACATGAAGAGGGAGCTGTGGTTCTTCAGACACATGCCTAGTTCAGCCTGAACTAGCTTCCCCAGCCAAGCTTTCCGATCACTTGTCTGCTTTTTTTCCCTTTCTTTCTCTCTCCCTCTCTCTCTCTCTCTTGTCTCTCGCACTCACTTACTCTTCCATCTTTTGCCACTGTGCCAGATAAATTTAAATGTATCTGTTCAAGTGGAGATAATCCATGCAAATCAGAGCCACTGGCTCCCAAGTGCTCGATGCACAAAGAGAACTCCGCTTCAGGAGGTCACTCGTTCACAGCTGCTCCTCCCATTCTATTTTTCCCCCTTCCAGCAGAACTGCTGCTTGTACACACTGACTGAAAAGGACTCAATTTACTGCAACTGCTACCTGGTTTTACTTACAACTTTCTTTAAAGAGGGACATACCTTCCAGCTATCTTGCAAAGAAAGGTAGGAAGTCTGAATTCTTCTAAAGTCATGGAAATACCTCTACTCCTTGCTCATTATCAGATTGTGCAATAAATGATGCTTTACTGTTATCAGCCTCTTAAGAGTGCTACGCCAAGTGTCTAATGCTTTTGTTACTTATATGCCCAGTTGCAATTGTTTAAGTGGCTATTATTCTAATAGTGATGCAGCCAGCTATTATCCTGATGCACAATGGCAAGGGAGATTGTATCAGGTAGTGTTGCAATTGCAACCTCTTCATTCCAGTCACATTTTTTAAAATACTTTCCTCCTTAAAAAATAAATAAAAAATAAAACAGTATGTTTCTCTCTCCCTAACCAGGATGTTTTTAAAGTAAGTGCTGGTGGTTGATTCCTGAAAGTGAAACTGCCAGAAGTGTCTGCCTCCGTCCTTGGACCTTATTAAGGGTGATTTCCCTTGAGCAGAACTAACTGTTGATATTTTTACAGGAAAGCAATATGTATAATAAGGTCACCTTTTGTTTCTTTGAAGCTTGGTAAACAAGGAACCTACAGGCCTCATTACAAGCAGGCCTGTTAGATAAATGCAGACCCCTTAGATCAACATATATTTAATAGAAATGCCAACAGTGTTTCGAAGAGTGAGCCCCTGACTCATTGCTGTCAGACATGGTTGTACAGGAACAAAACTGAGATATAAAAATGATCCGAAACATACAACAGCCCAGCAGCTATATAGCAGTCATTCGTTTTGCAGCTAAAATGGGAAATCAGATGTATTCTTAGCAATGTCTCAGACAAAGCACGTACTGCAGGAAATGTGAAACAAGCATTTTTCAATGATACATGCAGATTATACAGTAAATCCCAAAACCTACCATGGATAGTTCCTTGCAAATGGGTGCCAGGAGAATCGGTAACACCTTCAGTGCAACTTGGGATATGTCTGACTCACAGCATAGAAACCAAATCGGTCCACAGACCTGCTCTGAAATAAATACATTGCACGAATGTCAATCTATTACAGTAAGTCCTTGCATACATAATATGATCCAGTAATTCCTGCAGAAGTCTAAAATCTTCAAGAGAATTGGTCTGGAAGAGCAAAGCATATCCACCTTCAAAGAGAAAGTATAAAGACATGACCACAATTAATAAGGAAGTATGCAGAATGAGGAAGTTTACAGAAGTATTCTCCCCTCTCTCTGCAGCTGGAATTTAAGATAAATGATAGTTACTGCAGGCTGCAATCCTATATACATACTTTCCTGAAAAGAACCTCCATCAAACACAGAGGAAGTAAACATGCAAAGGGTTTAATATACAGCATGTGTATACTGCAGATTTGATATGTTAACATCCTATATCCCCAAGTATAGGTATCTTTTACATCTGGACCGTGGTGTGATTTTTGCTAAAGCATCTGCTGTTTTGTAACACATGAGAAAACTAGTGTGTCTTGCTGTTTCTGCAGTAAAGAAGCCAGTAGGAAAGTTCTGTTTTGCAGGGTGAAATCTTTCTAGGGCATTTTTAGGGGATCTTATCAGTAGGCAGGCCAGCCTGCTAAGAACCAATGCTGAAAAACAAGTAAGCTTTGTAGTGATGTGGAATAACAAGAAAACCCTTCAAAACGTCTGAAGACTCTTCAGTCTTAGAAACTGTGTTTCCTTTCTAGATTTTTTAAGGGGGGTAGCCCAGAAGCAGTCAGGTTTGCATATGTTTGCAATTTCTTAAACTGCACTCCTGCGCACAACTGTAGTTCATAACTCAATGGGATTTAAGATTCTGTAATTGCGTAAAGGGTAGTGGTCTGGATTTTCAACATTCATCTGCAGTCTTATGCATCTCCCTTCCTTGCTTACGGAGAGAAAGAATCAGGAGACAACCTTTTACTCTCTCTTACTTGTGGGGACCAAATGGTAATGAAAAGGGAGCTTTTCATGCAAGAGTGTAAGAAATTTACCTTGACAGCAAGTAATAAATACACTTGGTTACTCGCGTCGTAAAAACAAATCTTAAGTTAAGAACATTGAAGTTTATGAAGAAAGACCGAGGGAGTTTCCTTCTTTGAATGGAATTGTGGCCCAAATAACATTGGGGATTAAAGATGATCCCTTTGGAGTTTGGCAATAAAGTGAGGTGAAATTAGATGACTCACTCTTGGAGATATGAAAAGGAGATGAAAGGCATTTCAAAAGGAGATCTGGAGGGGGGGAATAGTAGTAATATGCACTGATTTCCTTCCGCTCTTCTGAACTCTACCAAATGCCCAGAGTTTTGCAGGTAAGGGAATGTGTCTTTCAGTGACTGCTCATTAGCATTTTTTAGAATAATTTCAAAGCAGTGGGTCTGAATGCAGTCACCTGAAATACATATTGTACCTGCCTTTAGCGTCTTTCATCAGTCTTAAACCCTTCATAAATTATAAGTATGTCCACCACTCAGAGATCTCTGCAAGAATCGAAGTTTATGCTTTACTGTCCAGCTTCAAACTGATTGATTTGTCATGTGTTACAATATTCACGTTTCCCCTACATGTAGTTTTTGTCCCTTGTTTCTACTGCTTTATATGTACACTCAGATTCAGTACTGGAGCAAGCAAATTTTCAAGCAAGTATAGTATATATATATATATTTCAAGTTGGCACTGTCTTATTGGGATTTCTTATACTAGTTTTATAAAAAGACACATGGTCATCTTTAAAGGATTCTGTACGAGACTGCTAATACATTCCATTTAAGTTCTTAAAACTTTCAGCCTGGTAACAATCCTCTGCTTTGCTGTGCCTTGAGAAATTCTCCAGGTTTTAACAAATTTTTGACATACCAAGAAGGGAAATATATGGCCATAAGACAGATTATTTCACAAACTGGAGCCTTATAAAGATTAGTAGGAAAAGGAACTTAATTGGCTACAAGTTTATCAAGCAGAAGCTGCCACCTGAGATGGCCTATAGCAGCCAGAAATGAAAATATGTTCCCTTAGGTTTCTCATCAATTTACATACTTGATTATATCCTGTTCTCATTTTACAACTCCTTTCATTACCTTGTGCACCAGTATATATAACTGTGATATCAGGTTGCAAACTTCAGCCCTTTCATCCAAATGAATGCTGAAAATGATTGCTATTGCAGGAAAGGCTTCCTTATACCTCAAGGGGTTAAGAAGTGAATCAGATCTGTAATTGACTGACTTCCCTACTGACAGCCTTTGAAGCTCTTCTCAGGGTTTTGTTTTTTTTTTAACCTCCTGTTTCATGAAAAAAGATTGACACTCCTTTATATGTTTGGAATTCTTCAGTGGGTATAAAGTGCTAGGTAATGATGGAAATTAACCTGGGGCTTTATCTATCTGTTTCTCCTTCTAACTTTATTGAAGTGCTGGTAACAGTTAAAAAATTTTATGCAAACAACTGTTCTCATCAGAATCTTGCTTGCTTCTGTCATGTCATCGCATGCTTTGTGATTTCCAGAGACATTCAAAAATGGCACTGCAACCCCCCCCCCCCCCGGGTTTCTCGCTCTCTCCCAACAACTGTTGTTTTTTCTTGGAGAATCAATGACAATTTTAGCCAAGACAAAATGCACCAGCAGACGACCAGATAAAGGAAAATATACAGAGTGCAAATGCATCTCTGAATGGTTAGTCTGTGGAACGCTGATCGCAGTTATCTGACAGTGTGTCAGCAAGTGTTATCTTGAAAAGAAAAATGAACAAGAGCAGGTCCATATAGGGAGAGGGGGGAGGAAGAAGCAATTGTTGCTTTATTCCTGTCTGTTTATTTGTGCAAGCTTGGAAAGTTCCCCCAATTGTCTTCCTGCCAGGGAGACTTAACTTCTTTGAGGAATTTGATGCGAAAGCTGTGATCTTTAATCCATTGGGGATAAAACATAAAATGTCAGCATAAAATGTCACCCCATTTCATAACGAATGCAAGGAATGTGAGGGACCCAAGCAAATTTACTTTGAAAAACACCCCCCTCAATCGATGATACCCCATAGAATCCTTTCGTCTTCTGTAACATTATCTCTTAAAAAACAACAAGAAGAAATAAGAGAGAATGGTGTTAAACTGGGTCAGAATCAGGCTGCCATATTGTGCATCCTTACTCAGGAGTATGACCCACTAAAGGGCTTACTTTAGAGTAAAACATGTTTAGGTTTATTCCATAGTGGTCCAACTACCCTTTTACTTTAGACACTTGCACTAACCAATTATTATTATTATTATTATTGGACACCCTGTCTCTGCTATTTGAGCCAAGGCTTTAACCAAGGACCCTGATACATGCCTCAGATTTATGTTACCACCAAACTAAAGTCCCTACATATACAGTGGTGCTCTTGTGTTTTAGACTGCAGGAATATCTACTACACCCAATGTTGAACCCACACAGCCATAAACTAAGTATCAAGTGCACAAACTCTTGATTTATTCCAATAGCCCTGAGTCTGAGTTATGGAAAGATAATGTTTTAAAGGACTTGCATTTGAAGCAACGAAGAAGGAGAAATAATGCTTTTTTAAAAAGAAAAAGAAAAGGGCATCACAGTTGCCTCATAAGAATTTTGTATCAAGTTAAACTCCTTATTACACTGCCAGATATGTTTTTTGGTAAGAAGATTGCATTTGTCACAAAGGCACTTCATTCCCATCACTCTGTTATTGTTGCGACACTTTAAAAGAAGTCTCAGCGATTCACATAAACATATGCTAGTGTGAATGAAATTTCCAAAACTGTATCCTGTAACCGCTGTTTCAACTTACCCAGGCTGCCAAAATAATAATATCACTGGAGAGAAATGGGGGAAAAAAGCAGCCTGCTGCCACAAAAAAGCTTTATGATCAGAAATGCATGGGCAAACGTTCAGGCAACATGCAAATAACATCTGATCTGAAACTTACCTGTGAGATTAATTAAAAGTACACATTTCTAGTGCTACCTAGAAAAGTAGGATATATAAATATTTCAAAGTGTTTCATTCAGCTTTTCCTGGAACTGATGGCTTGAGCCTCACTCTGACTTCAAGGTCTATCTGATAGAGTTAAAATTTTCATTAAAAAGTTACCTCAGAGGTTAGTGTACACATGAACACAGTACACAGTACACATTTCTCCTGTTCTTGTTTTGAGATATAAGGAAGCTTCCAGAGTTAAAGGAGAATTACTTCTAACCAAAGAAAAATGATAATTGTGAAACTTAAACTCCCCACCTAATTTGTTGATTATTAAATCACACAGCACGCCACTGGACATCACACCTCCAGTTTTGTTAAAATAAGAATCTATATGTTTCTATCCTTGAGGATAGCTCCAGATAACTGTTGGCTTAATATTTTCAAAAGTACAGCATCCATTGCTTCTTCACCTCAGCATGGCTTGCTGTAACCTAGGATCTTGTTGCGGTATCTTAAGCTATTTTTTTCTGCAAAGCAACACTATTAAGACTGAAATTTCTAATAGACCAGCAACAAACCAACCTCGCTCTCTCTCTCTCCCTCCCTCCCTCCCTCCCTCTCTGCTATTGGAAATCACTATTATCAGAGCTATCTTCTGAATTAGGATTAACTTCTGCAGAAGAAACTTTAGCTCAGGAATAAGCTTTATACCTGAAAGTTTAGCAATCTTATGCAAGACACTACTGCTTCACCTACAAACCATGAACATTTGCAACTTCCTTAGAGAGGACTTCCTTCTGAAAAATTATTAGCTTTTAAAACAGGATATATATATTTTTTCATACAATAAGGTAATGAAAACAGGTGTGATGTGGTGGGGAGTAGGGATGAGGGTGAAATTCAGTTCAGTTCCCATTTAAAGATGAACCTACCTAATTCACACTTTGCAAAACAATATGCTAACCAAAATGTAGCCATCTTTCGCTTCCTGTGCTTCCCTGAATCTTGCATTTCCCCAGCCGAGTGTAAAATGCGCATAAAAATAC